TGGTGTAACCCTGCTGGTCCTGCTCTTGTATTTACCTTTCATTGATAATCAACTCTCAGATAATGAGCAGGTCCTTGTACATTTGAAGGATTGTCTCACAGGAGGTGGCAAGGTACAAAGGAAGAGCATGAGATTGGAGAATCAGAAAGGGTTGGGTTTGCGTACTGGCCTGACTACTCAGTGCATGTGTGACCTTGAACAAGTTGCTTCACCTGCTCAGTCCTTAGTATCTTCATCTGTAAAATGGGATTGCTAGGATGAAGCAATGTGTAGGAGTACCTAGCGACAGGCCTGGTGCATAATAGACTCTACATATGCATCAGCTTCCTTTTTTCTTCCTCCAGTTGTGCTTTGCCAGAGTATCAGATTGATGTTGGGAGTTACAAGCTCTGCCTTTATCTGCTTGTTGAGGAAGTCATTTCCCCACCTTGAGCCTTAGAGGACTCATATGGTGAATGATGAGGGATCACCAGAACCTTAGTGTTGTTGTGCTGTGAGTTTATGACTCTATAGTTGGTCATTTCTGTGTTCCTTGTTACTCTAATTAGAAGATGGGAAAGGCAGCTGGAGACACACGGGTAAAATTTTCTATTTCAACAAGAAATAATGTTGCTTCTGGAAAACAGGCTTACTATAGGAGGTGTGTCACATCTCTGTGTGGGCATGTCTGCTCCTTCCTTGGTAATGGAAAAGAATAAACTCTACGCTTTTCACTCATGGGAAGTGGGAGCTTCTTTGAGGTCCTTGGTGGCAGAACACTTGAGCAAAAAGCAAGGTGTTGGCAGTATCGTCATAAAAACTTGTCAGTCATTCGGGGCGCCTGCATGGCTCAGTTGGTTAAGCAGCCAACCCTTGATTTCAGCTCAGGTCATGATCTCGTGGTTCATGGGTTTGAGCCCCATGTCGGGCTCTGTGCTGATGGCAAAGAACCTGCTTGGGATTCTCTCTCTCTGTCTCTCTCTCTGCCCCACCCCTGCTGTCTCTCTCTCTCTCAATAAATAAATAAACTTAAAACAAAAACTGTCCACCATTTAATGGGAACCTGTCCTGTGCCCTACATTGTTCCAGAAAATTTAGAATGCTCCTGACTTAACAGACATCCTCACACACAATTGCTGACAGCCTCGTGTGGCACTGGAATCCCCTTTCTGTCTCCCTGCCCACTGCCCCGCCCTTCCCTTCCTCCCTGTTTACTGCTGGTGCAGCAGCCAGGGTCACCCTGTGCACTGCCACTGGGCGTGACTTTCTCTCACCAGCTGCTACATTGCCAGTGCACAGTCAGCAGGACCAGCCAGTGTGTGCAGCATTGGTCCTCAAAACGGGCAGCACCGTGGAATCAGTGGGGAGCTTGAGAAACATACAGGTGCCTGGACTCTACCCCAGATCAGCTAAAACTAAGGATGAGGCATGGGTATTAGTTTGTTTAAAAACATCCCCAGGTTGGGGCACCTGGGTGGATCAGTCTGTTTGAGCGTTCAACTCTTGACTTTGGCTCAGGTCATGATCTCACGGTTCATGGGATCGAGTCTCACGTTGGACACTGTGTTGACAGCATGGAGCCTGCTTGGGATTCTCTCTCCCTGTCTCCTCTGCCTCTCTCTCTCTCTCTCTCTCTCAAAATCAATATAAAAAAACCCCACAAATATATATATATATATATCCCCAGGTGATTCGCATAGTAGTGTTCCCATCAGCCTGTCTCCATTCCGCATCTGCCTAGATGCTCTCATCTCGATGCTTCTCGTCCTTCTCCTCAAGCCCTTGACCCTCTTGTAGCTGGGACTCAATCCTTTTATGCCCCCTGCCCCTTATTGTTGTCCCTCTGGAACCCTACCCAAGGTCATGGGAAATGCAAACTCAGTGACAGCCAAGTTCAAAACATGAACAAGTCATTCCAAAGAAACGTCATTCGCCAGTGGTGGATGGGAGGCCTCTGGCACTCTGAGTGTAGCAGGCTTTTATGGACTGGTTTGGGAACTTGCCCACCATGTAAATGGTGTTTGTTTGTTTGTTTGTTTGTTTGTTTGTTTGTTTTAAGTTGAGGAGTCTGCTCTGTAGAGGAATACGATTCCACTCATGTCCTCAATGTGCTTAAAATCTAGTAAGAAGAGACAAACTCACAGAAAAATATAATCCAATACAGAACCCAAGGGCTAGATTTTGTCATGTAGACCAGTTGTTCTCAAACGTGGGCCTGTGGAGGGATCACTTGGGAACATTTAAAAAATGTGCATGTTCTGACCACATTCCACTTGACTCTGATTCAGTGTTTTTTGGGTGAGGCCTGAGCCCAGGCCTTTTCAGGCGAGCTCCCTAGGAGATTCTGATGTGCACCAAAGTTGGAGAAGGATTGGTGTACGTGAATTAAGAGAGGGACAGACTGCAGTCAGGGTCCTCTTGTCCTCTCCCTGGAAGAGACAGTTTGTGGCCTGGAGAGGCAGCTTGCATAGGCTCTGACACCTTGCCCCTCCCCAGGTGCTGTTTCCTGGCATCCCTGGCCTGACAGCTGGCTGCCTGAGGTCCTCAGCTCAGGCATGTTGGCACATTCTTCCTTGACCAGGAAGTGTCTGCCTGGGGCTGCCACCCTGGCAGTGAGCTGTCACCATTAATCTCCTAGGTCCAGTAATTGGAGTGGACACAGAGCCATCCCTCTGGATCAAGGCTCAGTGATCTTGGGGCTGTTTACTCCTGTCATTCATTTTCCCCTGGGTAGGGAGGAAGATGGGGGGAAACTGCATTTACAGACACTCATCATATTTTCCTGGCTTCTCATGGTGGAGGTGCATGTGAGCCTAGGAGCAGACTGAGGGGTAGGCTGTGGGTGAAGGTGGTGAAGACACCCCTGCCCTCAGGTAGCTGGGCCTGGAGAACTGCTGCTGTGTATTTCTGCAGCGGGAGAGCTGAAGGAGGGAGGGGGCGGAGGGGGGAGCA